AAACCCAAACGCCGCGATTTTTTTTAAATGTAGAAATTTAATACCGCATTTAGGTTTCCATACGAAAATTCACCTAAAAAAACAAAAGTCTCTTTTGAGGAATCAATTCAAATTGTGAGTGTTTCAGATAGATAGAATAACAAAAAAAAAAACAGAAAATGCCGATTCATAAATATCAGCTTTATGGAACTAACAAAAAATCCCTGCTATATATACAGGATTGCCAATTCCCTAAAATAAAAACCTAAAGGAAAATGCACTCTCCGACTGGGCTCGAATCTGCTGGGTCAAAGTACGCGACACTGCCCTCGTAGGATTAAATGCCCTTTTCCAGAAGGTTGATTCACTGTGTCGTGCTGGACAATTTCTTTTGTAAGAATTTAGCTTATATATTTTTACGTCTACCATCCATTTATGCTTTGAATATTGCTGTCACCTATAGTCTGGTGCTCTTGCTATATATTTAGAGATACTTGATAAAATCCAAAAAAGAAGCTGCAATATTATTAGTTCTGATTTGGCATCTCGGCTCCAGTTCCTTTCCCACCCTCATAATGTAGCTTCTCTGTGCCTTTTCTATAAATACTTTCATGGTAATTGGTTTGAGGATCTTTCAGGTATGGTACCTAGAATTTATGAATTTAAGTTCAATGCTAGATTGGCAACAAGGTCATTTTACAGTTGAAATGGTTAGATATAACTGTATATTTTATGCTAACAGTTTCTTTTCTCGCACTTCTCGTTTTTGGAACTCTCTTCCGGTTTCTTGCTTTTAGTTAATTTTCATTTAAAAAATTTAAATGCAATATTAATCGTTATCTACTGTTTACTTAATTCTTGATCTTTTATTGTTTTCTCTTTTTAATGTTTTTTTCTTTACTTATATTCTTTCACATTCGGTAATCTCTTGTGTCCTAGTGGCTTTATTGCCTTTCATGGATGAAAAAGATTAAAAAGTAACAAAAAAAGAAAACAAATATGCATCTTCTCGTTCAAAATCTGCTGTCTTTTTCAATTTTATTTTCGTAGCAAAAATGTAAGCAAATTAATATTCAATTTTTTTCTTTTTATTTTTCTTTGTTTTTCTTTTTTTGCCATTTTTTTCCTTTTCTTTTTTATCCCTTTTTCTTCTGTTTTTTCCTTTTCCTTTTATAATTTTCCTTCTTCTTTTCTTATTTTTCTTCCTTTTCATTTCTTTTTCATCTTTATCTTTTTCTTCATTTCTTTTCTTTTTTCCTTCTTTTTTACATCTATGTCTTCCATTTTCTTCTTTTTCTTTCTTTGTATTTTCTTCTTTCCTTTGTTACTTTTGTTTCTTTCATTTTCTTTTTCTTTTCTTTTTTTCTTCCTTTTTTACTTTCGGTTTCTTCGTTTTTCTTTTTCTCTCTTTTCTTCTTTTTCTTCTTTTTTCTTTCTTCTTTTCTACTTCTAGTTCTTTTTCCTTTTCTTCTTTTTCTTCCTTTTCCTTTTCTTCTTTTTTTTCCTTTTTCTTTTTTTCTTCTAGTTCTTTTTCGTTTCTATTTTCTTCGTTTTTCTTTTTCTGTCTTTTCTTCGTTTTTCTTCGTTTTTCTTTTTTCTTCTTCTCGTTCTCTTACCTTTTCTTCTTTTTCTTCCTTTTCTTTCTTTTTTCTTCTTCTAGTTCTTTTTCCTTTTCTTCCCTTTCCTTTTCTTCTTTTTCCTTTTTATATTTTTCAATTTTCTTCGTTTTTCTTTTCTTTTTCTTCATTTTCCCTTTCTCCTTTTACTCCCTTTTCTTCTTTTTTCTCTCTTCCTTTTCTTTTGGTTTTATTTCTTTTCTATTTTCTCCTGTTTTTCTTTTCTTCCTTTTCTATTTTTCTTCGTTTTTACTTCTTTTTTTCTTTTTTCTTCCTCTTTTTCTTTTTCTTTTTCTTCCTCTTTTCCTCTTTTTTTCCAATTATTTCTTACTACTCCCTTACACTTATTTTTCTTCTCCTTTCTTTATTATTACGTTTTTCTTACAAAAACCTTCCATAAGTTCTTTTTGCATGACAATGGCATGACGATATGAACGAACGAGGATCGCGTGTCTGGTTCGTATTTTTCTCCTTTTTCATGAGAATTCTTTTTCGACTGTCGAAGAGGTTTGAAGAAACTTTAGACGTGCCAAGTATGATGAAGACACCCAACTTCTAGCCCTCAATAATCCAAGCACCTCCCGCGATATAATAACAAGCAAAAGGAAGTAAAAATAAGTCCCCAAAACCTACATAAATGTAACGAACGTATATTTTTACTAAGAGGGTCCACAGGTGGGTTTTCTGGAAGGTTCTTTGTTTATTGCTTCAACATTGTCCACCCACACATTTCTTTCAACTGGTATTCATTTTTACTATCAAGTAATCACAACAGCCACCTACATATGTGTACTATTTATCTATCAACACACACACACACACACACACACACACACACACACACACACACACACACACACACACATATATATATATATATATGTTTATTTTACCCAGTATCTTCTGTTCGTCCAGGTTTCGTCACATATACAAGTGGACTGTTCATTTTATTTCTTTCTTTTATTTCTCAAACGTACTTGTTTTCTGGTCTTCTTTCTTTCTTCCTTCCTTTCTTTCTTCCTTTCTTTCTTTCTTTCTTTCTTTATTCACTTACATCTCAATCTATGTGACTAATTGAATGGCAAAAAAAGAAAACAAATAAAAAAAAAAACTCTTATGTTATGCGTTTCGCAATTCGAAAGAACTTCTTCAGGCAAATTATAGTTTTATTGATGGAGACCTATACATTTCATTTTGCGTCAGCCCCCACTGTCTTCCAAACTGAGCACTAGTGAGAGGAAAAAGATCATTAAGGCCTTCAGTAATGGTACCAACATTCATACTCTGGCTTCCATCTTGAAAGTTCATTCAAGAACCATCAAGAGAACTGTGAATAAGTTTTAAAAAGGTGGGGAAACAGCAGAGAAAGTAAACTGGATCAAGTTCTCACAACAGGAAGAAAAATCATCACTTCAGCTAAATACATTCTTATTGTTCAAAGTAGAATCCAATAGTTTTATAAAACTTCGCAGAATTCCAGTAAGTTGGTGTTTCACCGGTATATATATATATATATATATATATATATATATATATATATATATATATATATATATATATTGTTGTGGTAGGATCCACCTAATTTGCATAGTGGAGTACCGACCGATATAAATATGGTTGGTACCGGGAAGACGAGGAGGAATCAAGAGATTCAATCCAGAGACTCTGCCTGACTGCGACTAAGTCAACACATTCTCCAGGAACGGTCTTCCCAAGAATATACAAAAGACTATATGTAAATATTGTGTACACTTTCTTGTTTCAATACATTTTGTTCTAAGTACATTTTGTGTTGTATTATTATTCCATCCATTAGTCAAGTTTCAACATATATATATATATATATATATATATATATATATATATATATATATATATAGAGAGAGAGAGAGAGAGAGAGAGAGAGTGTGTTAGGTAATGAAAAATTTTGTAATCGGTATGGATAATCCCAAGAAGGATGTAATCGAGAGAACTCAATGTCAAACCAGAGCGAATATTAATTTAATTAAACTTTCGCTCACTGGGGTAGACTGTTCTAGTTCCACGTGCCATGTCTAATGGATGTCAGTTATCTCCTGTTAATCCTGTGTCCTCAAGGACACATGGAACAGTGGATAAAGAAGTTAATTAGATCCAGTGACAGGACCCAAAGAGTGTGAGTTCAATACCTGGTTAAGGCAGTGGAGAAAGAGGAGAATTAACAGGAGATAACTGATATCCATTAGACATGGCACGCGGAACTAGAACTATCTACCCAAGTGAGTGAAATAAAGGGTTCAGTTCTATATTCCAACCACCTGAAGAAAGCCGGAGTGTACAATGGCCGAAACGTTGTGATAAACATGGCGACAAAGATGAGGACAATAATCCGAATAATGTAAATACTCTCCAGTTTGTTTTTGTGCCCAATTTTCGATCTCGACTGGATCAGCCTTTTATTTTCCCGATTTAATTTTATCCTACCCATTCCGTTAGTGAGTGTAGTTCTTGATTCTGTCGATCGGCAGAATACAGCGTCCTCTCTTATTATTTTGAGCGGTGAACGGTTCCTGCTAACATTGTTTAGTTTTAGTTTTATCTTGGGTTCACATATTGAGTTTGTTTTCAGGGTTCATCTCCACTCCCCCATCGTTTCATGAATCATGAAATTTTGTAATTTTTATGTCATGGGGTGTTTTGTAGGTACCCTGTGAATATGTGGTATTGTGGTAGATGCAGGATTGAGTGGTGATGGATGGGTGCTTGTGTTGCATGAGTAAATTGTAATGAATTCTGCATCTGCTCGATTTTGACATCATTAACACACAGCACCCCTTTGTGCTGTCTTGTTTGTCGATCACTGGACATTCTGTTTTCTTAGTTAATAGTCCTTCTTTCTTGCTTTCTTAAACTATCTTATCAAAGTGGACTTACAGTTTTCCCTCTTTGTCTCCATCAATACGGTGTTATACATCAAATATTATGAAATGGACAAAGTCCGACAATTATCTTAAGGCATTTTTATGTTTATACATTCTTTTTTATAGATAGAAATATTTAAGTAAATGCTCTGTTTTATAATAAACAGTATTAAACAACATTTACCGGCCTCAATGTCCGAGAAATTTTCATAGAAGTTATTCGTCTTCCGACAGGAATCGAACCTGTATCCTATACACACGTAATATAGCCTGGTGTGCTTTTAATTTTGAGCGTTCGGTTATCAAGGTCGAATTTACTGACATATAAGTCTTAATGAATCCCTCACGTCAAACATAAAAATGTTCAAAATAATGACGTCACACATTATGAAATGGACAAAAGGACAAATATTAAGACAGAATTTGTTTAAATTTGGATATGCTGAAAAAGATATGATTTTTCGGAGATTCCCTGAAAGATTGTAGTTTAAAATAGTAAAATCCACCTTGCTAAACGAACGTTCCTCTGTGGCCAAAACGGTTAAAGGCACGTCAGGCTATATGACTGTTGCGTAAAGGCTACAGGTTCGATTCCTGTCGGAGGACGAATATTTTCTATGAAAATTTCTTGGACATTGTTGTTTAATACTGTTTATTATAAAAAAGAACATTTACTTAAATATTTGTATCTATAAAAAAGAATTTATAAACATAAAAATGTCTTAAAACATCTAATATTGTCAAGATGATGTTCACCGATAATAAATAAACATAGGACCTCTAGTTCTCTTAGTATACGTTAATGGTAATATAAGAAGTCCTTCGGCATTCGTTGTATCGAGTTACGCTTTGATTTACTTTCTGGTCAGCGGGCTGGGATCAAAGTGTAGTATCTGCTTTCATCATCTCTCGTGATAATGGTAATAGTAGTCGTTTATAAGAAACCACTCGGCATTTATTGACTCAAGTTACGCTTTTCTTCACTCTCTGGCAACGGACTGGGATCAAAGTGTAGTATTTGTTCTATTAATCTCTAGAGGAAAGGGAAATATTAGTCGTTTCCTTAAAGGGAAACATACGATAGTGCAACTCGAGTTACGCTTTTTCTTCTCTCTCTCTCTCTCTCTCTCTCTCTCACGCACACACACACAGATATATATATATATATAGATAGAACGTATGTAAATATAAAAGTGAACATTGAAGTCAACATATTTTACAGGCTGTATGTAAGACCGATTGCGTCTAGCATGAAACAGTTTGTTGCCTCTAATGTTGACTTAATGTTCACTTATATATATATATATATATATATGTGTGTGTGTGTGTGTGTGTGTGTGTATGTATGTTGTCCTATGTAACCTACTTTTCATCACTTGTCATAATATATTTAAGGATTGGTTAGTCGGGATAAGACATTCAAAATCACACTTGGTTCACAAAGACGGAAGTTACTTATGACTCAACTAATATTTTAAATGTCATGGCAGTTCAGAACGTAGATGATCGTGGCTCTCCACATGTCCCTTTTTTATTCTGTGTGAATTGACATGATTTCTCGTGAAATATAATTAGATGATTTCTTGTTGCTCCCTCCACAGTTTTCCTTCTCTTAGATTGGTTAACACCCAAGGCAAGATAACCCAGTTTACCTAGCTAATGAACCCATAATTTGACCGAAGGACAGATTCATATCTTTTCCAAGTGCATTTAAGCAAAAGTAATAGACAAATGAGAAATCTGAATTCGGCTCCAGGGTCCCATTTTCCGCGACGACATCTGTCACATTGTCATCCCATTTCATATTGACGAGTAGATTAAATTTGTATGGGAAATATTTATAGAGATATACTGAAAAATTTACTCAATAATTTTGTAAAATTATTTAATGAAAATTTCTTTCAATGCTGACAATGGAAGTGACATTTATCAGTCGTTACTGTCGGGATATGGAAGCTAGTTATCGGTGGGGAGTTTGCCTTGCTGTTCCCTTAACAATGTTATTCTCCATCCATCATCTTGACATGCCAGTAACGTGATATTTTCTCACGATATCTGGCAATATAACAAGGTATAGGGAGATATGGTTTCCTGCCTTTTCGAAAGGAATCTGTGAAAAGTGAGTCTAAATATTCTTAACTAGAAATCGAACCCAGTTTCCTGATCCTCTTTGCTGTACAATGAGGGTAAAACACACACACACACACACACACACACACACACACACACACACATATATATATATATATATATATATATATATATATATATATATATATATATATATATATATATCCAAATGTAATATGAACGAAAAAAATATAAATTCAAACATTCGTTTAAAAGGAAGGTCAAACCAAATGTAGAGCAATAGTTATTTATTATTATAAGCTGTTACGTACGAACAAAAGTATATATATATATATATATATATATATATATATATATATATATATATATATATATATATATATATATATATATACATATATATATACACATATATATATGTGTGTGTGTGTGTGTGTGTGTTTGCGTGTGCGTGTGCGTTTTGGGTGTCGGAAAACAAACCGTGCGAGTAATTCGGACTTAGGGGTTATGATTTCGCCTCACTGACCCCGGCTGTGCTAGACAAGCGGAAAGAGTTATGGCGACGAGTACCCGATGACCCTTGTACACCTGCTACTTATTGCTGACACCCCCCACCTCATCTTTCTCATTTATAATTACTGCTCTGCTCTACCTGAACCCTCTTGAGCCCCAAACTCCAAACTCATACGTTATTATTTTCGCTATTAGCTTTTTTTTTTTTTCCAACACCCAATTGGACTTTTTTTTTAATCATTCCATCCTGAACAGAAAAATAAAAAAAAAAATATAAAAATCGAATAAAATAAAGTAAAATAACATAAAATAAAATAAATGATGTTGTAAAATATATCGCCCAATATAATTATATTAGTTGACACACTCAGTCAATTTCGAATTGTGTTAATAAACTTTATATTATTTTTGAGTCGTCCATTGCTTTAGCAGTCTGTTTATTTTGCCGGGTCTAATGTTATATATTGGCATCTTCCGTCCAGTCCCAGTCGGTCGCTTATTCATAGTGTGGGGCTTCAAAACTAATATCTCTGGCTTTAGCTAAATATTTCTTTACACCTTTATCT